GTAACCAGGTTGTGGTGCCAGTTTTGTTGATAGTAAACCTCCAAACCGGTATTACAATGTTTTTTCCCTCTGGTTCTCGACTGACTGTGTCCGTACAAATATTGATGTTTGCTTGCAAGAAAGAAAATGAGTAACAACCTCCTTCTGGTCTTCTCATTCATGCTACAAACCAGAGGTGTGTTTTTTCTCCCAGATCTGACAGGAGTATTGTTTACAACTGAGATGGAGTTTAGTAATGTGTTGTCCATCAGTTTAAAGGGCCAGTTCACCCAAAATCAAAAATACACAGTTTTCCTTTAACCCTTTCCTTTGACCTAACTGGAACAGTAGCTACCTGGAGTCTCTTGCTAACAAGAAGGCAGCAGAGAGATGAACTCTGAACCAGAAGGTGCTCTTTATTTAACCGCAGCACACCTTCTCTTTCAACACTTTAAAATTTACACAGTCGGGAGGTCACTAACTGCATGCACAATATGTCACAACATTAACCGTAACCCATTACAACCATTGTAAAAGGCAGGAACATTATCACTGCGTAACAGGTAACCTGAGAAATTTAAAACACATTTAAACACAATGTCCCTGGCTTATGGCCTTAAACACATTGTCTCACGGCATTATGGGAAACTCCACCCATTCAGCCCCCAACACGCCACAATACCAACCTTGATTGTTTTGGTGTCTGATGTTTGCCTTCTCACGAATATAATGGAAGTAGATGGCACTCGGCTTGTGCTGCTCACAGTGCTGCTAATTACATTTGAAAGACTTAACAGCCATGTCTCTTTCCAGAAATCATGACCCGGTTACTGAAGATAATCCACAGACCTTGTTGTGAGCAGTTTCATAGGAACTATTTTCTTTCCACTGAACTACATCTGCCAACTGTATCGCCACACAGAAGGAGGCGGGCATCTACTGCTACCTCACCTAGCACCGAAGAGGACACCATTATGGCTTCATGTCGCACTTTCACAAGCTGATCCTCTCCATGAGTAGATGGAGATGATGCAGATTATTAGTTTCCATTTTCCTGCAGCACCATCATGAATCATCATGCTTCACTGGACGATGTGACAGAAATCTGTATCAGTCACCAAAAAATGCGGCAAGCCAACACAATGCAACTGTTACCCACATTTGCTCACATGTTTTGCAAGGCTCTCGACAATAAGGAACAAGCATATTTCAATAAACGACCACATCATTGCATCTCAGTAATGAAAAGTGACTTATGAAAACAGCTGTGTTGTTCTCCAGAAGGCAGAAGCAGAAGTAGGAGTCACAGGACAATGAGTCTTGTGTTGAAATGATACCGATCATGTAATGTATGACAGGTCAAAGATCAAAGTGGACCCCGTGTCAGTCAGCTGTCAGTTTGGCTTTGTCAGTAACTGTTTACATGGATTTATCGGCAATGGTGGAGAATTGTTTAGGGCTGCAAGAAAAGCTGTTAACTGAATGGACAAGTGAAATTCTAACGTGACTCATGTTTTGTTGAAATGTTTAAATGTGTTACTGTTGGTTTAGGTACAACAAATGGTGCTGGTGTTCATGCAGGGTGTCTACGGTTATCAGACAATTAAATTTAATGCCTTTGAAAATAATTTTAAACCAAATTTAAGACTTATTTTTTGGATAAATCATCTTTTTCTTACTCATGCATTGCAGGTTAGTATAGAGATAAGGAGTATATATGGGGTTCTGTGCAGAGGTAGGTTTTATGTAGGAATATGGTTATTAGAGTGAGTTAGGTTAATCTACATTTTGCCAACAGGTAAGTGCAAGTAGGCCAATAAAGTAAAGTATTTGATCAATTGACGTTTTTCTAGATTTGTAACATCAGTAATGAGGACTTTGATCCAGAGGAGCTTGACTCATTTTGACAAAGAGAAATTGAAAGATGGATAAATGACACTAGATAAAATGTTTTTAGTGATGAAGACCTCACAAATTGAAATTTAAGACTACTTAATTTGATAGTTTGGATCTTTTGAAGTGGTGTGTTGTATGGGGTACTTAGCCATAGTCAGAGTATTACCTACAGCAGAAGTCAGTCAGCATGCCCCCAGTTTGGAGATGCAGGATGGAGTCTGACACAAAAGCTAAGCAATACACAGCTGTGGATGGGTCAGCAACAAACGTATTTTAGCCACATAAAAAAAAAAAATCAATATCAGTCTAAGTGTATCCTATATTAAGAGTATTTTCACTGCTTTACCTTTGTGTCAGACAGTCCATTCAGACAGGAAAGCTTTTAATGGCTTCAGTTCCCCATCTATGCTCTCATCAGTCCCCATACTCCATTGACAAAACAGTAATTTTAGTTCGCTGAACACAGGAGCTGCTGGTCTACCGCTGCTTCAGTCAGTCAGTTAGTTAGTGTTATTGTGTGACTTTGGTTAATCTGAACTAACCCTTGTAAATGCCAAAGTCACACAATAACACAAAGTAACTAACTGAATGAGGTAGTGGTAGACCAGCAGCTCCTGAGTTCAGTGATGTTAAATTACTGTTTTTTTCAATGGAGTCTGGCCTTGAAGAGAGAAATATAATGGCTTCATTTTCCATTTGAAAATCACTGTGTGACATTAAAGTAAAGCAGTGAAAATACTCTAAATATAACATACACTTAAACTGATACTGATTGTTTTTGGGTGGGACTTTTTTAAGTGGCCAAAATACATTTTAATGCTGACTCCTCCACCGCAGCACATTGCTTGGCTCAGACTCAGACTGCTGCCTGCTTCACCAAACTGAGAGCGTGTCGACTGACATCTCCTGTATGTAATATACTGTCCATAGATAAGGACCTCAAACAACACCACTTGAAAAAAAACATCTGAACCATCCCTTTAATAGTTTTTATAGCTTAAAATTTATAAAACTGAATTTAAGAAGTGTTAAGACTTTTTAGGGACCTGAAGACACCTTATCATGATAGTGATGACTTTGCACAGAATATTCAGGATACCTTTAATCAGTAGCCTGTTTTTAGGATTCAGTATTACATTGCCTAACAACTATGTAGTAAACATGCCATAATTTACTAAATTTGTTGAGTAAAGTAAGTGAAATTTAGTGAGTTGTTTAAGACAGCTGTTAAATGAGGGTAATGTGGGTATAGAAACATCTGTCTCTGGGCATTTCCGTGTTTTGAAGAGCGTAAAACTAAGTCATCCATTTAGGGTTTTTAGTGGCTGCAATTGCAAACTCAGCAGACGCTATTTGGAGTGTTACCACTGTTAAGAAATAATATACATGCTGCCTCCAGCAAACAGTTTTGGTATCTGTTGAATCTGTTTTTTTTTCAGTTATTATACTAAGTCTTTAAAAGAAACCAGCCTCTCCACCCTGCCTGATAAAACTCTACATCCTGAAACTGTATTCTGCTCTCACTGATCAGGAGGCTGTTAGCAGTGTTCGGTCTGTGCCCTTTAAGTTACATCATCTACTTGTGATTCTACATCCTCCACTTAGTAAAGGTCGGTGCTAAGAGGATCTTGGAGCTCTGCCAGCACATGCTCACATTAATGCCACCAAGACAGTTGAGACAACAAAAGGACCATAATTCAAGTTACACATAAGGATGTTGATACTGTGCATGGAGGCGACAGACATTTCTCATCTGAGCATACTGGAGGTACTCTGTGGCTTACAGGATTAGACACAAGTTTGTCAAATGCTGAGTATATGTCTTCTAAAACCTGATTAATAAAATGAGCCTGTTGGAACTCAATGGTGTTTCAGTTTACGCTATTGTACTGTCATAATTTACTTCTGCTTTGAATAGGGGAGTGTTTTTGGTGATTTCATTAGGTGTGATGTATTAAATATAGGCTAATACTGACAGCAGAGGTCTCACAGCTTGAGTTGTCACTTTAAATGTAAGAGAAGAATTAAGTTGTTCAAGAGAAGAATAGGGTGCTACCCTCTGTAACAGTGATTTCCAGTAACAGCCTGATTCTGATCACCTTGGCTGAGGACAGGATGAATTATTGGGCTGCCTTCAAGGGTAAAAACAAGACATATTAGTGAGCTGTTGGTCTTGAGTGAGCTCTTATACAGAGGTTGAAGCATTCACACACCCACTCAAGTCATAGGATGTTAAGAATCTGAACATTTTTGGAGGAAGTTGTTCCAGCTTTCCGTAACGGATGGATTGTTGCAAATCAAACATATAAATTAGTTTAAATCAACATTGAATTATCATTAAAATGCTGACACAGTACTAAGGATACAAAACACTGGGTCAACAGGATGTTATGCATAATGAGAAGCATCTTCTCATTTATGACCAACTCATCTACCTCATGCAGAGGACGATGGCAGGGACATGGGGAGCTGAGGCGGCTCTAGCATCTCATACAGATTGTCATTTTCTCCAACCACCATCCATATTTTGGATTTTCACTCTCCCCACTTTGTATTACAACTGCTACACAGCAATTTCCCTCTAGATGAAGTTTTATCTACATTTTATTAAGATTTAGCATTTGTAAAGGACAACATTTCAAAGGCAGGTCCCTTACTACAGTATTTTTACGTTGTGATATGCTACAAAGATCACAGGAATTGAGTACTTCCACCACCGTTGGTTAGCTGCTCTCTGGAGGTAAAGCAGTCAGTGCAGATACCTGGTTTACTTACTGCTCTAATGGGCCTTTTCACAGCTGACATTATTGATTTAAAAGAGGAAAACGGGTGTAACTGCCAACATTAATCCTGGCTCTGCTCAATTCAAGTGTCCCAGTAAGATTTGATGCACAATACCAGGACCCTGAAAGCAGCTTAATGAAATTCACCCATCAAGGCTATTTAAACCTGTACTTTTCCTACTGTCAAAATGAACTGCATGAAAAAAACATGACTCGGCCTGGCTTATTAACTCAAGACCAGCTGAAGAGGAAATATAAACCACTTCCTCTTAAGTATTTTTAAATTCACCACTAAACCAACTTGTGAAAAGCAACTCCTTCAAAGCAAACAGTAAACAAACATTGTTTAAAGTATTTATAAACCAAAACCTTTAATCACAGTATAAACAAAAGACAAAAGTTGAGGAATTAAGAGTAAGAGTCCAGAATGTCCCAGAAGAAAAGCCTGTCATCCAGCAGGTCTTGAATCGCTCTCCAGCATCATTCAGCTGCTGCAGCTCCGCTGCCTCTGGTCGATATGGGCGCCGCGGACAGACTTGACACCGGGAGGGTCCTGGGTCTTCAGCTGAGTTCACCGGTCTGGTTGTTGGCAACGTGTTGCTGTCACAGCCACGGCGGAGAGGACAGTTTATTTGGACCTCTGCCTCATCTTTCTCCTTTTACGCTTCAGCCTATGACACGATAAATACAACAGTCAATCAGACGGACATCTCTAAACAACACGGTGTAATGGTGTGAATAACATGCGCCACACACGTTCTTACCTGCGCATGCGCTTCTTTCTCCACTGCGGAAGAGAAAAATAATGTTAAATTATTTTGTAATTTACGTCACATTTCCAAAAAATACAAATGTGCTCAACTAACTAAAAGACACACAAACGTTTGGGGAAAAAAAACAAAAGCGAACTTTACGGGTGAAAGCTAGAGGACTTAAAGCTAAACCGTCGACATGCTCAAGCTAGCTAGCTAGCTAGCGAATGTTAGCACCATTTGAAACCGTGATTATTTGATCATACAGACATGAAACACTAACCTTAGCCCTCATGTTGAGAAGGGAAGGCTGAAAACAGAAGGGAACATGTAAAGAATTAGCTCGATTGATTTTAAAACAAGATGATTAACTTGGATTCTGATATGAACAACTGGGAACTCACGTACCAATCACTAAGGAACCGTCTCCACGAAGGACGTCACACAAGAGCGACGTCCTATTTATAGGGGTTGTGCTACGTCATCTTCACTGGACCGTAGTAAAACAGTTGTCCAGAGGATAAGGCGTGTACAGAATATGCTTAGCGGTGCATGTTTCTATGTGATGTTAAGGTCCGCCGTTGTTTATTTGAGCAGTACTTTGCACTTTTGACATATCTATCAGATGTCACTGGTCCACCTATACACTGATAATGTTCAACGAGAATTTTACCACAGATATTATAAAAAAAATTTGATTAGTAATACTGTTTTGATTGATACAGACGGTGTACAGTCTGTGCCCAGTGTCCTAAAGCTACCATTAAGAACAAAGAAGTAATGTCCCAAGTATTTTTATGTGTATATTTTGTGTATTTCTGTTTAGACTCCATCTTGGCCCATTAAAAATAATTTATCTATATCCTATTGTGTCTAAAAGTAGCACTTGAAGTAATGATATTTGATTAAATTGATGGACTTGCCCATTTACATGGTTTTATGCACTTATTTGAAGTTGCTTTACATGAAAGTGTCAGCTAAATATGTGTATTTTAATGTGTTTGTGAATTTGGGGTGTTAACCAGGGTAACTTCGTGCACCGGTTAGATAACTAACAAGCAATTTCCAGTATTTTTTGACAGTATGCTTACATTTTACTATTTTTAGCAGTCCTAAAAATGAAATATGTTAATGCTCATGCCTTTCTACCCTGGATTTATATTCCTAACATGGAAAGGCTTTAAATATTTAGACCTTCAATATGTAAAGAAAGGAAATTAAGTTACCTGAATAAATAAAATCTAAATATTACTATATGTAAATGTGCAGTAAATGTACATATATACACTTTCTAAAGGTGATGGGGCAGTCATTTAACTATTGATGGCTAGTGTTCAAGTTCCTGGCTTAGCTTTTGATCAATGCAGTGTAATGAGAGTGAAATAACAACAATGGTGATTCATTAATGTTCACATTCATGAAAAACACACTTTCGCTCATCGGGACAATCAGCTGTATACACACACTCCAGAAACAACTACACAAATGATGTCAGGTGGCTTTTTAATGTTTCCAAAAATAGTCTCTGAAACTGGGATTTGTTTTACAAAAGCATCCATATATCTAACAGGTATGGAATTCTTATGTAAACACAGACTGTCAGACTCGATGGTGGCACCAGAGGACTGAATGCTGAACCCTTGGCAGGAGTAAGACCATCCACAACTGAGAAATTCTTTTCGTCACTAGTTAAATTACTCAACCAGCAAGTTTTAAGTTGTCAGTTTAAGAATTGTTAGCTGAGTAACCTACAGTAGATTCCTACAAGTGTACACAATGTACTAGTAGACAGACCTAAGCGAGAGCAGTATAAATGCGGTAATGACTCATGTCATGCTCGTAACTTCAGGGCTCAGACAGGTGTTACACATTTTCTGCCCACAGCAAGTTTAACACTCATTTCAAAAAGGCATGGCTTTCAGGTTTATGACCTCAACAAAGTTATCTAAGTGCCACACAATTACCCTGACACAGTATTGTGCATTCATCATCCTTGGCCGCTCTGTCAAACTCATTTTATTTTCACTTATCTTTCACTACAGTTATTGTGGAGAAAGGGACGAAGGCTCAAGGTCAGTCGAATGGTTAAATGTTCCAGTGAGTGTTACGCCCTTGCACAAAATATCCTCTTTTGTAGCAGAACTATTGTCTGCTGTTAAGAGAGGAAGACAGTCTCAAGGACAGTGAGATTTACTATGGTTGTACATGTGTGCGCGTGTGTATGTGTTTTAGGTGGAGTGACAGAATTTAGGAGCAGCATCATCCCAGACTGACATCAGTTAGATTCAGAGGTGTTCACAGCGGCTATGCCCGCAAGTGCCTCAGACAGCTGGGACAGAAGGATTTGTGACGTCTGTTCTTTGGGTCATCCAATGTCTGTCAGAGAAATCTATTCTGCAGCTTCAGTCTCCATCGCCTGTCCTGTTGCGCTCTCAACAGTCTTTGAGGCCTTTAAAGACAAAAATGACAAATTAGAGGAAACAATTGGAACATGTATTCTTGTTTATTTTTTTAAAAAAAAAACAAAAAAAAAAAAACACGCTGCCTCATAACTCACCTTCTTTTTCTTCTTCTTCTGAGTCTTGCGGCTGGCTGAGCTTTGAAGTAAAGCCTTTAAAAGGGAAAAAAAAGGGCAGTCAAAAATGACTTTCATAACCTCACACAGCACATCAGTGCATAATGGCTTGGAAAATGCCTCGTCAGCTAACAGAGTGCTGTAGCGACCCCATTAGACTGATCTTTCCTTTTCACGGAGAGGATGCAATACCCCATCCATCAAACACATTTTACCTTCAGCTCTGGGTCCTCCACTTCATGCTCAGACTTGTAAAGTTCTGGCTCAAAGAGGCTATTTGTGATTCGCAAAGGTCCATTGGCCATGAGCAGCACGGTGAACTTGAACTGGGCAACAACTTCACCTGGACAAAGAAGAGATTCAAAGTTGCATTAAACAGTCCCCAGTTTGTATAAAGCTTGGACATCAAATGTTTATGTTCACAGGGCAAAATTAAGTGTGCGCACTGTCATACTGTTATACAACTGATTAAAATGCATGGTCTCTCCCATGTGTAAACCTGGAGGGGATCATGTGTTTGGTTATGTGTGTGCGTTCACGAGTGAGCGTGTATCCGTCTATTCGCACCTGATCTCAAACTACTGAACAAATCAGCCTCATATTATGTGTGCACTTCTATGACTGTGTGCTTAAGGATCTCTTGTTATTGTGTTAATTCATGATTGTTGAAAAACCTGTTTTACCGTCTGTTTTGTTTCATCATTGACTCCGACTGCTCTAAATCAGCTGGTAGGTGCTGTAAGTTTTCTAGAAATCAGCTTGGCTAAAAAACAAGATTTACCGTCTGCTGCAGGCCACATTTTGGCTCTCACTGTGGCTCAAAAAAGATTGGTCTCATTTGGAAACGAAGCATCTGCAGACTAATTACATACCTGGCATGTTATGATCCACTAAAATTAGGCATGATACAAGATGAATAAGTTACTATTTTCATTATCCTTGCCACCATCTTGACTGTGAGGAGGCCAGAAGGGACAATATCACAGGACACAGCTGTGCAACATTCTGAGGGTGACGTGGTTTTGATCCTGCCTCTGCACATGTCACACCACACTGGGAGCATTTCAGAAGCGGAGTGCTTTGCCTTCTTGCAGATTTTGTTGATTTGGTCATTTTTACTTAATATTTGTGCTTCTACCATAAGAAGGTGAGAATGATAAGTACTTAAATGATTACTTTCTTTGTTTGTTTTCATTGTGTTTGTTATTGCTTACTTTGTTGGGCTGCAGCCTACAGATAAGGTTAATACCGTTGCTGGAGAAATTTGCTAGATTTTTAAAGTGAATTACCAGATTTGTTGAAGAAATTCCACGACTAAACAGGTACTCAGACCTTAGAAGGAGCTGTGTTTCTACAGTAGCCCAGAACAGACAAATTAAACACTGACTCTCGATAGGGCCATTTGCCTATCACATCGGCCACTATAGTTAGCAGCCCCTCCGTGACAAGACTGTCAGAAAAAACATTTTTTTAACGTGAAACTGTTAAACCAGTGTTTTTACTGGTTTAGATCACCCGGGTCTATTTATAAACATTGCGTACACACAGAACGAGGCCCGACAGAGGCGTACGCTATTTCCCACGCAAAAGTTGCGATCTATAAAACATATTTGATGGGAGAAACTTTGACTCATGCTAACAAACATTTTGGAGACAGGAAATTGGCGACACAGATGGTGGGCTGGAAGCCTGATTGTAGAAATTGTTGTATATTTTTTGGCACAAGCCATTTTTGGCTTTTGATCTTACGTACACTTTTAGTATGGATCCTACGCATTGTTTTATAAATTAGACCCCTGGTGCATTTGTTTTGGATATGAAGAGAACTCTGCAGATAAATCAGCTCCCTGTAAAAACCTCCTGAACGTCTGGATCAGTAATAAGGTGAGCACACATTAAATTATCTGGATTTTAAGTCATCAGAGGACACATTAGGAGGTATTAGTTTAGTGGCTCATCTCTGACGTGCCAAACAGTGTCGGAGAAATGCTACTTTGAATTGTGAAACTGCTTTATTCATTTTTACTGGTTTAAATCACTGGGTACATTTATCCTGGAGAGAGGAAGACCTCTGCCCTGACAGTTCGGCTACTGGTAAAACTCTGGATCAGTAATAAGGTGAGTACACAATAAGTTATCAGAGAAAATAGTATGAGCACACATTTGCAGGTAAGTGCTGAACAGGATAGGAGAAACACTGATTTGTAATGTGGAATAACTTTATTCAGAGTTTTAATCACCTGGTCAGTTTGTTTTGAGAGGAAGAGACCTCTGGGGATGATATAGCTCCTGGTAAAAAAAACCTCCTGAACAATGAGCACTGAAGGAATTCTAACTGGGACAAGTTTTGGCTGGTTGCAATCTGCAATCCTCACCTCTAGATGCCACCAAATCCCCCTGAATCTTACACACTGGACCTTCAACCTGGGGCTAAAAGATGCCAGTGTGAAATGTGGCTGAGCAACAATAGAAATTTAGCATGTATGTGTTTTTGACTGACAATTAACTCAGGACTAGTAGAAGTGTAGTGTGATTCATACAACCCTGGGCTTCGGCTAACCCTTGGTTAACAATGTTTGTGTTTAAACAGGGTCAACTCTTAGCCTAGGGATAAAGATAGCTCTGAGTTAAGAGAATGCAGTGTGTTCCCTCTCTCTGACTTGACCTCACACTTGCTACACACACATTACACAACTCTTACAAAAATATAATATGTAAACATGTGGACTGCACTTAAACACGGCCTTGACTTTGGCCATTGCCATCGCAATCGGGAACGAGTAGAGCTACAGCAGAAGGTTTTGCCGAGCTCGCCAGAAAACCAAGGTCTTTCTCGCATGTATGATCTATAAGAAGCTGGAACAGCCAGAATGCTTTGGAGTAATTAAATCCTCCGGGCTGAAAAAAAATTATTTCAGCAGTGCTACCTGTGTGGTGACATTTTTCTACAGATTCAAGTACGTGAAGCTTTCCAACGGCTCAGAGACTCTTAGACCTCACTTCACTTTGTTCACAAAAACACAAACCTTCAGGATTTTCAAGGTCACCAAAGCCCTTAATCACATCTCTCATTGTTCCACTCACCCTCTTTCTCATGCAGCACATTGAACGGCTGCACCAGCTCATGTTTGGCACACTCCATCACGCCCAACCTGGCCTTGCTTTCGTCCTCAAACGCTCTGAAGACACGAAAAGATAAGAAAAGAAAAATGAGGGGGTGAAACCTGGGGAATTTTGAAAATAAAGTAAATTATTTTATCTGAAGTTTAAAGATATTACCTCAGAGTGAAAGGCATTGTGTCAAAGCGCCTCTCCACGTCACTGAAGAATGTCCGAGATGTCTTCATCTTTAAACCGTACACCTTGTTGGGGTCTCGTTTGTAAATGGTGGTCCTCTGACCTCCATCCTTTGCCTGAATTACACAAGAGAACATACATTATAAATGTCTTGCCTTTGGGATTTTCAAAATTAAGCAAAAAATCAAATTTGTACCAAATTCCCTCTCACCTTCCCCTCTCCACTGCTGATAAGTACATCCACTGCATATACCTCATGCACCTCAAACTCAGCCTTCTCATGGTCCTTTCTACAAAGACAAAGTGGCAAGATCATCCACTGGTTAAACACTCATCAGGTTAGTGACAGGAAGCACCTGCTGAGTAAACTCACTTTTGCTGGTCCGTTGGGTTTTGAATGATAGTTTTCTCCCCATCGATCACATGTTGTTTGAGCTGATGGGACAGCATGCCTGCACACGATGGAGAAATAAACTGAGTCAAGCATGTCGAATTACATCTGGCAAATGTAAACCATCTGAATCACAGAGCTTGAAGGTGCCAAATGTTCACAAACACCCACCTTCAATAGGGGAGCACTTGAATGACTTTGCAATCTTGTTCCAGGCTTCTGTGACCTGTGTGTTCTGATGAAAGAGACATGATGTTTAATGATACATGTATTTATATAACACCTCTAGAGACAGGGTTACAAAGTGCTTCACACAGACAACAGATGAGGTGTGAACTAGTGTTACTTCCGTTAAACTATGTATATGTTCGTCAATGACCTTTATTTCCATGATGAAGACGAGGCGCATACAAAATGGAACCGTCATCATTAAAGACTAAATGTGACTATATCAACATGTAAACTGTTGACAGAAAAAGAAAAGACTGAAATGTAGTTAAAAGGTTTTTTTAAGAACATTTTTATTTTGACGAAAAAAAATAAAAATGAAGAAAGAGTTTTTAGAAAGGCACAGAATAAAAGTATTGCTTTTCCTACAAAAAATATTGATTGTAAATCAAGCATTTAAAAAAAAATTTGTCAGGTCTAAAATTGTTGTTTCGTTCACCACTGTGTAAGATGTCTGATATTAAGTTACTGCTTCTAACAAGGCTTGTGAGCCGATAGTATAACTGTATTGGTATTATGTGGCATCTTGGTGTCGTCAGTGATCAACAGTCTTCATAGTTGTCTGTTGGGGTGGGGGGCGAACGGTGAGGTCAATGTCTACCCAGATAGCAGAAGCAGATACAAACAGTGGCTATCATCCGACACCGAGCTGTTAAACGGTCGCAACAAACTCCTACTGACACCAAAATATTTAAAATCTGTCATTAAACCCGTTGATAACCGTAAGCTGTGTGATGCTGCTAACAGGTAGCTCTGTAATTGTGTGTGTGTGTGGACAGACTCTGTTCCTGGTGCAGAGCTCACACTCCTGCAGCAGAAGTCTACTTACAAAACTGTGGGGTTGCATGATAAACAGATAGAGTGAGCGAGTGAGGGGCAAGTCATGAGAATAACGTCTCTATGGCTCAGTACCAGAAATCAGGGGTGAAGTTTAAATTGTAGTTTAAATTAGTGGCCTTTCTCCCTCCAAAATATGATGAGACATAGTACAAACAAGAGTGGAACTTTTTTTGTCATGGCACAGTGTTACCTAAAGCTAGCCACATCTTAAGATTTTCATAAGGTTAGATTACGTTATATGAATCCTGAAACACCACCACACAAAATAACCTAGATCTATTACAAATTTATAGCTACATGCTGCAAAATTATTTCATTACCCTGCCAGGAAAAATCCAGCACTTGCCATGACCAAGGCTGTTTGTACACTTGTACACTACACAAATCAGAGCTCTGATCAGGCCCTAAAAAAAAAAAAAAAAAAAAAATCAGGACTGATCCTACATGACCTGCACGGTTTCTGTCTAAGCACAAACTGAGCTCGAATCCGAGCAGCACTTTTGGGACGGAGTCTAATTAAATACCAGAACTTTTCCAGTATAAAATATATTCTACTTTATATATTATAATATACTTTTAATATTAAAGCATTTATTCCAAGCTAAGGGTCGGCGTGTTTCCTCGCACAACTTCTCCTTCTTCTCTTTTTTATTTAAATAATCTGTAGTCCTGTGCCTTGCAGCCTCCCTGTCTCTTATTCTCGTTTTCCATCCATCTCACGCACATGCCCTCTCTCTCTTCACGATTGCTCCATTGTCCCCCCTCCTTAACTCTTGATTAGGTCCATTAAAACTCCTGCCATTTACACACAAGAACAGCCAATTTCATTCAAAAACAAACAGGGGCGCCCGGTGGCATAGTCGGTGGAGCAGGCACCCCATGTGCAGGGGCAGTGTCCTTGCCACAGCGGCCATAGAATATACAGTTTCTGCAAAAAACTGGCAACCACTTGTGCATTGAGCAACAGCAGTTTGGTAATGTTAATGCAATGAGGGAGAGTGAGACACCTGGTGGCTCATCAACAGCACCTTTAAAAAGGAAACCTCACTAAAATCTTTAAGTGGGTTGACAAAAAAAAAAGGATAATAGATATTAGACTGTCTAAGTCAGTCGCCATGCATTGGAGGGATGGGGTGAGACGACATGTTAGAGGAGAGCACGTGTGTTGGAAAATGCAAGTGTAGTTTATATGCTGAAGTGTGTGTATGTGGATGCAACATGTCAGTCGATGTCACAAATGTCTGTTATACACGGGGGGATGCCAATGTTAAATGGCGTCGGGGCCATTTAATGATTCTGATGTAATGATTCCTATATAAAATAAGTTTGACTAAAAATGAAAAAATGATTGGTTTTGGCTGGACTAAATTGACTGAAATGTTTGATATAATCTGATGACTAAAAATTAATGAAAATGTCAACAGCTTTCATTGACAGAAACAATACTAAAATAGTTTTCTCTGACTCAGGTAAGAGTGAAATGCCCAGACTTGTAGTCGACTAAATGTCAGTGAAAACGGTGGTTATGGTGGGTGAGTTCTACCTGGTTCCCTGGCTTAACTAGACGCAGAGCAGCCTCAGCACACAGGTGAGCTGCTTTGAGAACGTCAGCCTTCCGTCCAGTCAGTGGGTTCTCCTGAGGTGAAACAGGAAGACAGTTTGAGAGTAGCAAGAGGTAAAATAACACAGTCTGAATCTCTATTGATGCTGTGAGTACCAGTAATCGAGTAAATTACATTACAAATCATGGCTTTTGTGAATATACCAATGAGCACTACAGTGGTGGCCACCTTCAGGTCTATCCTCCCTGGTAGCCCCAGTGAGTAAGTGGCTTCATTTTGAAGCGTGAAACACCTTTAGCACTGTTTACTATGTTAACACCACAAGCCGTGCTTACATTGCTAATGGTGCTTACAGAGCTAACAGGAGGTTCGAGGCTCAAAACTGTGCTGCTTACTCAGCTGGGCGACCTCGGGGGAGACCAGAGGGTGGGCACAGTGTGTCCACAGCAATGCAATTGGGACAGGACAGCATTATTTGTGGTAATCACCGAATGGGCGGTGCCGGTAGATAGCTCCCACCAGACCCAGGCGGTTCACAGTGCAGTAAACCCAAGAGCAGCAAAATTAACCTTTAGACTAACATGCGTAACCAGTCAAAAATAATCTTGGGGGTTAACCATTAAATGGATAACCACTGACGTAGTGATGACACACCTTGGTCACTCCAACAACGAAGCTGTGAGCCACATTTGAGATGAAGCCATCAACGTGCACACCCAGGTCACTGCAAACAAACAGAACAGGACAACATGAGTTGAAGAAATTATAATCTGCACACAAATATAAACTATTTATCAAGTGCACTAGATGGACATGTATATGTTTGGTAGCTTACATTTTGACGAGGTCCCCATCCTTCAGTATGACATCAGGGTCACTCTTCAGAGGGGAGTGATGGCATACGCAGTTGTTAACTGACACACAAGTAGGAAAAGCGATACCTGCGAAAGAAAGGGAGTGGATGAGGGAGTGCTGAGTCACAGACATTCATGGTGACTGATGAAATGCAACAAAAGACGTACCTTTCTTCATGTCTTTTTCCTTCTTGAAGATTTTCCCAGTTTCTGCCATGATGAAGGCATCTCCCTTTTCACATAAGCTGAGCACGGAGACTCCGGCCATAGCTGCCCCAACCACCGTCTTCAGAGCCTCTGCAGGACGAGAGGTAAAGTGAGCCATGATGTAGTTAAAATGGCAGGTCAGTAACAGAGTGTGTACAAGGCTGGGCTGACAATAACCATTATTTCATCACCGTTAATTCTGTTGATTATTTCCCGAGTCAGTCTATCGATCATTTGTTTCATAAAATGTCAGCAAACAGTGAAAAATTTACAATTTCCCACATGTCCAAGGTGACATCTTATCTTACCCCACTCCAAAACTCATCTATTGTCACTGACTCGATTAATCATCTAATTTCTTCAGCACTATTATAGTCTGAACAGGTGCCACTGTGAATAGATGGGATGGATAGTGAACATTAACAAAAAACGCGTCCCTCTCACTGTCAAAGGCTCAATTAATGGAGTGAGTCTGAGTGCTGACAGCAAATTACACTGCAAACAACCCATTTGATTTTGACTAAGCTGATGTCCTGTTAAGTAGAGGATAAACATTTGACAGATTGTCCGACAGCTGTATATCAGCTCGAAACTGCATCATGCTCGCAGAAAATTAGATGCCTTAACTTCAGATAAGTAGGCCAGCTCTGATAAGCTACAATATGAAACCACAAGGTCGCAGAGTCTAGTTGATATAAGGCAACTACAACATGCAGTCATCTCTACAACCTAGTAGGAGTATAATGATGAACTGAGCATGACACATGACAAGTCACTGAAAACTGATATTGAGCCATTTATATTTTTATTTTCTTAAAATTGGAAACTCAGAGGCCTCTTTTTATTAGGAAGGTGGTTGATTCCCTTGCACCAGATACACTATCTGAGATTAGTTTAGTTCAGATTAACGTGGTTGCAGTTTTGAGTTTAAAGATTTTACGGTTTGTGTATTTAAGCTCAACTTGGCAGGAATGTCAGCTGTTCAATTTGAAGACTGGCTGATGAATTATGGCCAAACATAAAGACTGTAACTGGAATGGGAAACTGACAGGTGCGAGTGACTTTAACCTACAAGTGTGGAGGTGGGCGCTGTTGTAAAAGTGTGGTGTGTTGCCAGCGTTCCCTGGGTTAACGATAGGGGTGGAGGAAGAAATTTGATACAACACAGTATTGTGATAATTTGCATGACAATACTGTATTGTTACAGACATCTATATTGATTTTTTTTTTAAATTATATAAATTATTAATATTTCAAAAACAAATGAGACTTTTGTTAGCATACTAGAATAATAAAATTAGTTTGATTTTCAGTCTATTAGATTTGCATTTTGCTTCGATAGATTAGATAAAATTGATGCTGATTTTTGAGACATTATTTGCACTGGAAAAAATGTAGTAAATTACAAAATATCATCATAAATATTAATGCTATACTCAACATCATAAAAGATTTAAAACTGCAATAATATTGTATCATGACTTAAGTATCGTGATAATATGGTATCATGGGACCTCTGGTGATTCCCACCCCTGATTTATTAAATTCATAGTGATATATTTTTTGTGTACGAAAGGCAGAAATTCTAAAAAACATTCGTAAACTGAATGCACAGCTGCAAACTGATATTTTTATGCTTTTAAGTTTGGAAGATTTATAAAATAACTCCTGACTGTGACATCACACTGATGATAATGTGTGCAGGTGGCCATGACAATAATATATTGCCTTAAATATTAGCTTTAACTGTAAGAAATTACTGCAGTTTATGACTTATGTTGATGACTTCAAATGGAGTTTATGATTTAATTCAATTCTTCAAAATGCATTAAAATTGGCGTAATTTAAGGCAGTACATTGGGTGTTAAACTGCTTAACGTCATTACTATATGACTTTAAATGGCACCATTTAAGACACCCAGGTTCCCAGTCTGTTGTACGACTAATTTGTCATTTAACGTATTTTGAATTATTTGTATGCTTGAATTTAAATGCCGGCTACTCAATATCTGTAAGAGCCCCATAGTGTGACTCAGTTTGTACTTGTCATTGTTACATCTGTTAGCAGTTACAGCTAGCTAACGCTTGCTAGTCAGGTAGCTGAGCCACATAGCTGCTTAGCTAGCTCCCCATGCTAATGTGACAGCAGCGGCTCGTTAAACAAACACGGGCTCCTGTAAAGAAAAGCTCGACCTAAATATACACCAAGCGTTATGTTTCATTCATATTAAATAAAGCCCTGCTTTCTAATAAGCTCTACCGTTGGCAGTGGTGCGGCACATGGCACAGCTGCTGCCCGGGCATGACTAGCTGACACTGCTAGCTAACATGAGACGGGTCCTCAGACTTCTGGACCGTTGAGTCCAAACGGCACGTAAACGCCGCATTTCACTTACGATTCGCAATCTCTGCGCCCATCTTGTACTTGGTGACCACCAAGTCGTCGGCGATGGTCTGCTCCTGTGTCTCGTCATCTCCAGACATGTTGGCAGTGTGTCCGCGAACTCACAGTAACTTTTTCCCCGGCGGGTGTCAGTCAGTCAAAGGATGGACCACGCTGCTCTCCGCACCGGCCCGCCCGACTCCGCTCGGCAGCCTACGAGCTCTAGATCCCGCCTGCTGCCAAAGATACACTCCGCCGTCAAGATAGTTCACCGCCAAGCTGGGTGCGTTAAGTGATATAACCGAATAAGGAAAGCGTGGTATTTTTATTTTATATCATCATCAGCATTTAAAATTAGAACATGGACCTATATTAGTAGCCAACAGGATGTCTGCTGATATACAGCTGTTGTGTCTTTATTATACTAATTAAATTAACAAAATCAAGAGTTACAGAAACCACAATGACTGGTAGTTTATACAGCCTACTGGGACACTAAATGGGTACATACTCAGTCTTATGTTTCACACCATTAACAACAAAATGATAGATATTTTATAGTTAATATAATGAATATAACATAGTTTTTGTAGATTACAAAAAAACTTACTTTTATAATGTGTTATTGTTCTTTGCCATATTTCTAAAAAGAAAATATGTTGCCAAGTAAAATAATTTAGAAGCTTTTGACCTCAAGCACACCTACCGCACAATGGCATGTCCAGGTAAAATGGTACAGTCATGCTTGAGTGTTTTAAATTGTTAAATCTAGGTTAGTTATTGATTTATTAAATCATTTATGTAACCTACCTATTCATTAGAAAAGATTATCCAACTTTTCTGCCATGCTCTCCTGTTTCCTTGGACGTGCTTACGTGCAACAATTATGGGTAATCTTTTACTATTGTTGCTGACATTGACTCACTGCATCATGTTTAATATTTTTTAAGTGACAAAATGCTATGTAACATGGCAGGGTGGGTCACAATAGCATAACTCGTGATTTTATGGCACCTGGTACGCTCAAAACATGCTGGTTTCACTTCAGAAAAATGTCCCATTTGAGCTTAATTTTTTCCCCATTTTACCTGAATGCATTCAGTACTCACTCAAAACCATTTCCCATTAAAATAAGAAGAATTATGAAAACATTTCTATCACAAGTTAAGCATTTGATACTGTTATTGATTCAGCTGCAGCACTTATATTACCCAAAGGAGAAAATCAGCATGCTGCATGGCTGACCTTGCAACTTCTTGGACCAGTGATTTTTATTTATTTTTTGACTCTTTGCTCTGTGCATACTTTTAGTCTCAGACCAATAAAAATGACTTTTTCACATGAAGGACATTTGTAGAAACAATACAATAACATGTTTGGTAACTGGCTACTAATACTAAAGGGTCCAAGATGTAAAACCTAATTTGTCCTTTATTACCTGATATCTCAAGTTCACCCTGATGTTATAGAGAGATTTTGATGTTATAGATAGGTCTATTAATTGTACCAATAATCTGTTCATCTTTGTATAAGTTCACAGAGGTCATATTACTGTATATTATAAAGTTAATCTCTCATCTAAGAACATTTCAACATTTGCACTATGAGTTTTGATAAACCCATCAGTTTAAACCGGATTTAAACGAAACCGGAATAACGTTGGCGTCACTCTCTCACTTCTCTGATCATCTCTGATCAACCTCTGACCAAATCGCGCGCGAGTGCGTCAGCGCTTCACATGCCTCCATCTCATCTTCTGCCTGTGTCAGTGTGACTGCACACAAGGTGGAGATGTGCAGAAATAACTCGTTTTTTGTTTTATAATTTATAATGAAGAATATCATATTGCAACATGATTTTAAAAAACAACTGAATGTAAAGGCTCAAGTGTTTTATTGTTGTACCAAATAAATCAATGACACCTAATTTTTTATTTGCAAAATAATCGCATTTATTCATTAATATAATAATTCATAGTATCATAAATTGTACAAAACGACTGGTTCTTATAAATGGGACATGGTGACCTCATACTGCAACACAACACACACATCTTGTCACAATAAAGTAATCATAGATACAAAGGATTTACAGTTGGCAGCTGAGACATATAACACTGTATCCAACAAACCAATTTATCAAGTAAAAATACAGATACAGATGTAAGGTCAACTTTACATGCCTGTTAAATTCAGGGACTTCTCATCATACACTTCAAGTTCACAGGTGTACTCTGGGGTGGGGGCTTCTGGCACAACTTCACCTTCTTCCAAGGTGCATGGAGCGGAGAAAGAAGTCTAAAAAGGTCGAAACTCCAGCAAGTGTTGACCTCTTTATTTCTGTGTCAACTCACAGCTGGTTTCACAAACATCACAGAGATGGAGGACTCGGATCACATCACTTGAGTCAGACTCAAGTCTCAAATCTGAGGACTTGACACTTGCTTGACCAACACTGATAAGAGGCTAGACTTGGCTTTGACTTGGTTATCATGACTTTAGACTTGACTCAAACTTGAAACACTTTAAATTTTTGCATTTGTCTAGATCAGGGGTGTCAAACATACGGCCCCAGGGCCAGAACCGGCCCGCCAAAGTGTCCAGTCCGGCCCACTGGATGATTTTGTACAACAATAGTGATGCACTTGTGAAGGTCTAGAAGTGCCAAGTTTCAGGCGCAAGTTAAACACTGAGTCGCTTTCGTCATATAAAATGTTGCTTCAGAGGCTTTTCCACCCCGACCAGAGTACAGATCTTTTCTTTCACTTCAGTTTGGTGTGGTGACGTCAGGATCACGACATGAAAAATGTGGAAAATGATTGTGGAAAAAATTGAGACACATTACTGAAATGACATTTATTCTTCTGAAGACATCGCAGGCTGTTTGTCATCTGTTTTGTAAATGGATGAGCATTCTTAAAATGTACTTCTTTAAACAAAAAAAATGGAGATGTTTGTTATTTATAGGATATCATGCAATGGTTTTACTGGTCTGGCCCACCTGTGATGGAATCAGACTGCATGTGACCCATTAACTAAAATGAGTTTGACACCCCTGGTCTAGATATTGAAAAGTTTTGTTTTTGAAACACAAATGGGTGATTTTGGTGCAATACATGCAAACATGGCAACCCTCTAGGATGCAGCAGGCCAATGGAGGCCAAGGCATGCAGCAGCTGCCATGGTGGGGGCTACAGCTGTCCAAAAATACTAAATATGGATTTGAGGATTATGTTGTCAATGGCACCAGGAGAGAACAGTATCTAACGTCTACAGCTCAAAAATGTGACCACCACAACATCCAACTTTGGCTGTCAAAATGACAAAACAAAGGCACACAAATGTGTCTTTTTAGCTAACTCACTGTTTTATTGGCTGGTCAAACATATGACCTGAACATCAGAATTTCATATGACTTGACTTGTGACTTGTCTGATCTGACATGTGTTGCTTTATTCTCCCTACAGTAACTTCAGAATTGCATGAGACGTGTGACATACACCCACTTCTGCTGTTTAAAATTGTGACATGAGGTTCAAGGGTGTATTTCTTTCACCACTTCTATCTTTTGAAGTTTATTGAATGCTGGTAATCAAATATAAAAAGCTGGGAAACTTTAAAAAAACAGCCACATTTATGACAGGAAGTAAAGTTATACGTCTCTGTCCCAGTCCACATTATTAAGTACGTACAGCATCTGGCTTGAGGAACAGTCTGCTGTGCCAGTAGTCTGGGTTATCAAATGATGTGTTGCTGCCAGGCTCCCCCATGCCAGCACACACCTTGATGTATCCCCTGATCCCGGCACACCTGCCACTGCCCATCTCCTCAGGAACAGCCCTCCCCTTCACAGGGAGGTTCTGGTAGTCCGCCTGCTCCCATCCGCTTGGCATCACTCCAAATCTGGTCATCTCCTCATACTCCTCCACCGTTTCCCCCCCAGCTGTGAGCACATCTGGCCTGGGCATGACCATCCCGCTCACACTCCCCTGAAGTGCATGTTGTTTATTTGTGTTGTGGTACTTCTCCTCTTCCTCTTCCTCCTCCAGCTCTTTTTTCAACACCTCCACTGTTTGGTCTGTTTCATCTGTCTCCCCTGCACTGTTTGCAGATGTTTGACTCCCCCGTCTCTCCCATGCTGGATCCTCTCCCTCTGTGGAGTCGGATCGCCTGATATCCATGTATTCATACCTGCCCAGCCCTTGAGCTGCTTCCCCTTGGTCATCCACACCTCTGATCCCGCTGTCAGAGTCCTCAGTGCGCTCACGTTTCTCTGTGGAGTCTCTTTGCTCTGCAGCACCTCCTTCACAACCCTCATCTACTATCTTACTCCGTGCAGCTGAGACTGGCGTCAGAGCTTCCACATGAGGCGCATCATCTACAGGTAACAGAGCCATGATGGATGGAGAGGGTAAAGGTGACATTTTACGACAAACTGCCACAGATGGGGCGTCTGCCTGTGATGAGACGCCGCTGGTGGAGCAAGAAGGAGCACCAGACCCTTTGCTCATGATCTCATACTCCTGAGACGGATTTATCACCACAAGAGACAGATTATTCTTGAGTCTTGAGTTTCTTCGCCCAGAGTGAGAGACTCTGCAAACTGTGAGGGTGTAGAAGGGAGAAGATCAGAGGGAAGAAGCCTTGATTATGTATTGCTTATCAAGATTATACAAAAATAGCCTGGGAAAATGATTTGGGGGTTGCTATATCAGAAGAGTCATGGACAAAAGCCCATTTACTGGTACATTCTTTCTAAGTTTGTGCTAGATGTGGACTTTTGCTATTTAAAATATTGCATAGACTTCACATAACAAAACGTAAGCTCTGTAAAATGTATCCAAATATTAGTCCAGTGTGCAACCATTGTGGGCAGTCACCAGCCTCACTAACCCAATGCTTTGGCACTGCCCAAGAGTCACAACATATTTGCAAAATGTTTTTCAGTCACTATCAGACGTACTGAGTAGACCTGTGGATCAAGATCCACTGATCGCACTGTTTGGTATTAAAGGTTCTGATCTTACATAATATGATGTTATTTGTAACCCTACTCGCACGCAGACTTGATATTATTAAATTGGAAGCAAACACGGGATCCTGGCCTTTCTTCCCTCTTGGAGGATGGGATGTACCACCTGCATTTGGAAAAGATTAAATTCTCCTTAAGAGGGTGTAAAAGAAATTCCACCAGATCCTCCAAGTCCCAGTAAGCGTCCTACCCAAATCCAGAT